ACCAGAATAAGGAAAAAGCTTCTTCTTTTTATATTTTTTGCTTATTTCTATTTTACTAAATTACTTTTATTTTATGACGGAGGTCATATAAACAACTAACAATATTATTCTTTCTCTTTTGATTTATATGACAGTTTCTCTCATTTTGTAATATTAACTCAATTATAGTTTTATACCACTTTATAACTTTCAAGAAATTAAATTCATTAATCTATTCAACTTTTAAATTTTGACATAATATTTTCTCTATTAAGTGAAAGTTTCACTACATTACTCTAATTTTTTTTCATTATTACTAAACATTTATATTTAAGTGCAATTAACATTTTAAACACCATATCAATTTTTTATTTTACTAGAAAATTCCTTTACATTTGGGCCTTGGATAGGATCCAGCAAGTCAGTCATTCCACCAAACCCTCGTTGCATTTCCAAAGCTCCGATCACATTCTGCAAAATCGCCGCCGATCTCCGCCCCGTTATCGCCGTAACAATGTTCCGACACGGTTCTCGATTCCTGACCAGAGTCACCACCACGATGAAGTGGCGCCGCCCATTTTCAACCGATCTACCGGCGGAGTCTGTTGCAGATTCCAACTTCATTGAAGCTTGGAGGAAAGTAGTTCCAAATGTGGAACCACCGAAAACTCCATCCGCATTCATGGCTGCTAGGCCCGCTACACCGTCGTCAATTCCGTCTAAGCTCACTGTCAACTTTGTCCTTCCTTACTCTTCTGAACTCTCTGGTAAAGAGGTAATAATATGGATACTTAGATCTTCCTTTTTGAATTTCCTCATTTATGATATGTTGAATTTCGATTTTTTTCGGGGTTGTACGATACTAGTAATCCCTAACGATTGATGATACAGCATCTAATTTTCGATTGGAATTCAGATTTTGATTGATAGAATTTACTGATTTGAAAGTTATTTCATGGTGATATTTCTGATTGCGTAGTGGTAAATGAAGTAGGAGGAGAACGATGAGGTTTCAGGTTCAAATCTCAATGGAGGCAAAAGAATACTAGGTGATTTCTTTCCCATTTGCCTAAGACATGGTGGGCAGAGTTACCTAATACCTGTGCGTAGCTGGTGGAAGGTAGCAGGTAGTCAAAGAACAAAAAATGTTCGGCTTTCCAACAGTGATAGTGTAGTATAAAATAGAAGAGAGGGAGTATTAGACACCTTATCAAAAAAAAAAAAGAAGAAGAAGAAGAAGATAGGGAGTATTAGACTCCATCTGAATTCAAATGATTTGATGTTCATGAAGTTACACACGAGAGTGTTATTTTGCATGCTTAAATTTACATGAGTTTCAACTTCCATTGTTGATGTTAAAGCAAGAGAGGTTCCGAAAGAGGTTCAGTGCCACCTTCATAGCCTTAATCAAGGGCAGATGCATTGTTAATGTTATAGTTTCATCCTAACGCAGTAGCTGTGGCTCTGACGATGTATATGTGTAAATAAATTGGCTAAATAAGTACAAATAATAGATTCCCGAACCCAGTGAATCTAATGGGCAGGGGTAGAATTCCGAATTCGAACCCATAAAGTTTAAATCTTGGATCCGTTTCTGGTCTTAATTCCCAAAAAGATTGAAGCTGTGGAGTTTAAAGATATTTTAGGCGTTAAATTTGATTGGAAGCATCTACAAGATTATCTCAAAGATACTGTCAGAGACTCAAAAAGGTGGTGCATAAGCTGGTTGATGATGCACATATGGCTTTTATATGGGAAAGGAACATCCTGGATGTTGCACTAATAACCAATGAGTGCCTAAACACAAGGCAAGAAGGGAACTTATTGGGAGTCCAGTGTAAGTTAGACATTGAGAAGGTCTCAGATCACATTAATTCGAGTTTCCTCACCAATATGCTTAAGGAGGGATTTGATAGCAAATAGATTAGCTGGATAAATTTTTTTGTGATCACTGTTAAGTGCTCTGTGATCCTAAATGGAGTTCTCTTACCAATATGCTAAAGGAAATGGGATTTGATGGTAAATAGATTAGCTGGATAAATTTTGTGTGAGCACTGTTAAGTGCTCCGTAATGATAAATGGAGTTCCTGAAGGATTCTTTTCGATTTTAAGATGCTTGAGACAGGAAGATCCCACCTCCTCCTCCCTTTTCGTTTTAGTAATTGAAATTTCAGCAGTATGTTGAAAGTGGCCAACATAAATGGATGGTTACAGGGATTTAGTGTAACTAAACAGCAATCAATGTAATATGGAAGTCTCTCACTTGTTGTATGAAATGATATCCTCATCCTTTGTTATGATCTAGAAGTCAATTAAGACATTTGAAGTTCATTCTAGTGGTATTTGAAGCAAACTCTGGTCTTCATATTAATTGGAGGGAAAACTTGTTCCCTTCCAATGAGGTGGCAAACAGTGTTAGTGCTAGTTTGGGTAGAATTCTGGGCTGTCCGACAGGGACTTTGCCTACTATTGCGTTTTCCTTTTGGTGCTAGACACAAAGCTGAAGAGATATTGCAGGGAGTGTTAGAAAGGTGTGAAAAGAGGGTTGCAAGCTGTAACAGTCTGTGCAATTCCTTTGGGGCAGATTTGTGATTAAGCGTGTGCTGGATTCTCTACCAATTTATGTGAATTCTTGTTTCCTTTGTCAGCCTAGATTGAGAAAATAATTGATGAAGTGAGAAGAGATTTTTTGTGGCAAGGTAATAACGGAAGGAAGTCCTTTCACCTGTTCAAATGGAGCAAACTATCCAAGAGTAAGAAAGATGGAGGATTGGAAATCAAAGATCTAAGGGTTTATTAATGAAGTGGTATTGAGATTGAGTTGTGAAAAAGAGGCCTGAAAGAGAAATGTCATCAAGAACAAATATGGATACATAGTTAAGTTTTTAGGTGAGGTGGTCACATATCAAACTCATGAAATGACGTAGATCTCTAATAAGTGTGAATTTTTAAATGAGGTGGTCACATACCTCAATATCACGTTAGAGGTTCTGGGTTCAAGTGTCGTTGCCGTAAAAGAATATGATCATGTGCTTGGTTCATGAAAAAGAATCAGACCTGCACGTGAAAGTGTGTTGAAGATAAAATTAAGTAAATAAAAGTGCTCCAACAGTTTAAGCTTTTAAGTGTGACAGTCACACACGTAGACATTCTACAATGTAAAGCAGGTCACGTGGGGACAACAGGTGTAGCTAGTGGATAAATTGTTCTTTAAGGGATCAATTGGATCAGAGGAAGTCTTTTATGGTAGTAAAGTGGATCCAATTTTAGCTTCATGAATGTTACTAAAGTGAACCTTTTTATCTTATTCTTGCTTAATAGTAATTTCATCCGAAAAATCCTTGTGAAATCTCCGTTTGAGGAATGAATTAGTTAGCATTTTTTGGAAAAAGCAACTAATAGTTTGTTCGTCATTTTGTATAATTTAAATTTTGTTTTACTAAGAAGTTAATACTTTTCTCGCAAGGGTGGCCTTCCTAAGGAACATTTATTTGTCTGTTTTAATTGATTAGTTTATGCTACAAGGGAATAATGCAACAAAATAATTAATCTACTGGTGGTACAATTATTTGAAACTTGAAGTGAAGAGATATCAGTGAATCTTCTGGATGACAACACACAACAGCAATATAACTGTTCAGTTGTATTAAATTCCACAAGAATCTGATCAGCATGGAGTCTCGCTGCCTTTGCCAGACGTCATCCTTGTTAAAATTTGGGCTAACTTTCAAGGGTGCTCCACAAATTGTTGATATATTCCAGGTTCTGACTGTAGTTGCATTAAGTTTAGCATTGTATACTGAACATTAATAAAACAGAGAAACATTTTGTTTCTCATTCAATGTTTCAACAGTTGTCAAATGATGCACAAAGACTTGTGTGAGGTGTAATAGTATGCTCTCGAGGAATATGCATGATTGGCTCTGGAAAATCTGATGCAAACTTTGATCATCCTCCCTTTTGCATTATATGCAGGTTGACATGGTTATAATCCCTGCAACTACAGGACAGATGGGTGTTTTACCTGGACATGTAGCGACTATTGCTGAGCTGAAGCCTGGTGTCTTATCAGTTCATGAAGGCAACGATGTGACCAAGTACTTTGTCAGCGGTGGGTTTGCATTTGTTCATGCAAATTCTTTTGCAGATATAATTGCTGTTGAAGCTGTGCCACTTGACCGCATAGATGCCAATTTGGTTCAAAAAGGCCTCACTGAGTTTACACAGAAACTAGGCACTGCCTCAACTGACGTAGAAAAAGCTGAAGCCCAGATTGGAGTTGATGTACACAGTGCCCTTAATGCTGCTCTCACTGGTTAAACAAGCAGTGATTCAATCTTTGTCCTAGTTCAACTTTCTTTTTTCCTTTGTGTCTGCTTAACTGACTTCTTCAGCCTTTTGCATGAGCTGATTTCCGACATATATTATCTTGTTCAAGTATCCTATTTTAAGTCGTTACTTTGAATAAATGTTGCGTTAAGCTTTCTTTACATATCTTGTTTGCTGCAATGTCAGCTGTATGCTAAACTGCAGTAATGAGAAATAGATTGTTCAAAAGGAATTGTGCTGTAGTATCGTGCTACCTCATTTTCAGCTTGGGGTGTATTCTTTGTGTTGGTCATTTCTCACTGTCTGTTGCTGTTACAGGGCTTTACGTAACCCTTTGCTATCTGTTTTAGATCCTATCATTACTTGAATCATTGTCTTGAACAAACTTCTTTAACAGTATACCGTTGATGCGGCTTGGAAAATGAAACACATTTTAGCTTGGCTTGATGTAATGTCAAGCAAATTTTGTTTGAAAAACAAGACACATGGATTACATCGAAAAGTAGTAGTACGATGCCGATGTCCAATGTGAACTTGAAGGTAAAGAGGCTGTTATTTACCAATTTTCCTTTTCTTGCTCTATTATATCTATCACCAAATTTAGTCAGTCTCCTGTTGCTGAGAAGTAAAGCATCAAAATTATGCAGTTCATAAACGTCAACTTGATTTTGCTATTACATTATCTCTGCGATTTCCAGCTGCTAAAGAAACAGAAACAGTGTTGTCCTCTAACTTTACAGAATCATTTTCCTTTTACGAAAGAAAAAGGAAGGTAAGAAGGTAAGGAAATTTAGCAATACAGAGGTTAAAAAAACTGAAAAAGCAAAGAGATGGAGTACTAATTTATACTCCAGTCAGAATCTGTGCACCCAAAGTACATGAAAACCAGAGGTGCGAATGTTACGTGAGCTGTTATAACAAGAAAGGCTTGGTGTACACGTCAAATGGCTCAGTAGCAGTCAACTGAGGCTCCTGCAACCAACAGGTAAAAGTATTTATTTTCGGGAGAAATTCAAAAATAACCAGATTTACAAGTGCTCATTCAAAAATAGACACAATTTCAAAAGTAATCGAAATTTAGTCATTTTTCATTTAAAGATAAATCTGAACGAAAATATTGTTCAAAATCCGGAAAATACTCCAGCATAATATACTGGAACTCCAGTTCCAGCATAATATATCGGTCTAGCATAATATGCTGGAAGTTCATACACATGTGCTCCAATCTCCAATATATTATGCTGGAACTTTTCGCGTGTTGGAGATCTAACATAATATGCTGAAAATTCATACACAGGTGCACCAATCTCCAGTATATTATGCTGGAACTTTGTGTTGCAGCAAAATAGTGACTATTTTCCAATGACTTTGCAAACGCTGACTATTTTTCAATGACCAGTCCGAAAACTGGCTAGGCCGTGCTATTTTTACTTTATTTTCTGGTAATTGATCAATTTAATCTTCATCCCTTTACATTTGAAGGACAATTCAGTTCCAACAAAATGCATTACAATAAGCTAAATTAAAGTTACCTGTCTCATCCCAATGCCGACGCTTCCTCCATTAATTAGCATTGTGAGAAGAGATGAGACAATTTTGCCTCCTAAATCACTAGTAGAATTGTGAATGGAAGATCTAATTGCATTCAGAATACTCCCATATGTTGTTCCTTGTCCACTTTCAATTGCTTGAATGAAAGAAAAAGTCATTGCACCAGTTGAAGTAACCTTGGACAAACTCTGTCATCAATTAATAAGTCATTCTATTAGCTTGCTTAGGTTGATTCAAACTATTGAATTCAAACAAAATCAAAAGTTAAGGATGTTAAAAAGATTTTACATCTGTATCTGAAGAATTTTGATGATCATCGCAACCACTGAAAGATATGACTTCTCCTCCATTTGTTCCTTTCCATACTCCTGAAGGAGGACGATGATCTTCCCACACATATCGTCCAGTACTGTATCCATAAAACTATCTTATTTCAGTTAACTGAAGGGAGAGTGAAATATGTTGGGACTGAAATAATCAGGTGTCATGCGGAAGGTAACAAAGCATATCTTGAACGACAATAAATCAAACAACAAAAGAGAAATATACCAAAAGAGATACAACCATTTAACTAGGAGAGTGAAATCCTTTACATTGTAGCCTTAGCAGGCGTAGTTCGCGTATGGTCATCTAATTTTCAATTTATTGTACTAACGTCATAGAACTAACTTTTGAACTAGAAATCACAGAAAATAAAAAAAATCTCAAAAATGCTAAATCCGGTCTAGGAAAAAGCAAGTAGGCTGTCACATATATAAAATTGTCATGTTAGTATAACTACGTAGGTAACTTACCTTACATAGTATTCACGTGACACCACTTAAAAAATAGAAAGTCTCATTTTCTAGCCTAAACCTAATACATGATCTCTTTCACATGTGGCCCTTCATGTTTTGTTTCTTAAGTGGGTCGAAAATGAATTTTGTAATATTTTAAGCGGTGTCACGTGGATATTGTAACATGAATTACTGAAGTGGTAACCTACTTGTGTTTATGCGACTGAATTTAACATTTTCTAGCATTATCTATTTATGTGATTTATAGGCATATTTAAGTTGCTTTTTGTTACTACAAAAATTAGTTTTATGACATCGGTACAACAAATTAAAAGTTGAAAGATCGTCCGTGTATTTGATGGGATAAAATCAGAAATAGCCATGACTCGTAATTGAAAAATAGTCAGAATTTCAAAAATAATCATAATTTAATCATTTTTCATGTAAAGATAAAATCTGAATAAAAACACTCCTAAAAATCCGGAATTACATATGAGCTTCCAATATAATATGCTAAAATTTTATAATGTGTTGGAATTTTATCATAATATGATGGAAGTTTATATGGAGGAGCTCTATAATCCCACATATTATGCTGTAACTTTTCGTGTGCTGGAGTTCCTACATAATATGCTGAAAGTTTATATGTAGGAGCTCCATAATCTAGCATATTATGCAGGAACTTTCCGAGTTTCAGCTAAACAGTGGCTATTTTTCAATGACTTCGTAAACGTGGGCTATTTTTCAATTACTAATCCGAAAGCTGGCTAGCCCGTGCTATTTTAACGTGAATTTAACTCTTCTCTATTCTATTATTAGCTACTATCCTACTAAACAAAAGTAAAACGGTAGCCCGGTGCACTAAGCTCCCGCTATGCGCGGTGTCCGACTAAGGGCCGGACTACTAGGGTCTACTGTACGCAGTCTTACCCTGCGTTTTTGCAAGAGGCTATTTCTACTGCTTGAACCCGTGACCTCCTAGTCACATGACAACCATTTTAACAGTTACACCAAGGCTCCCCTACTAAACAAAAGTATTAGGAGTAGCAAGAAACAAAAATGTAGTGTTGCAGACCTGTCCATCCTACAAAGGAACGGCAAATCAAGCATAGTACCACTGTGGCAAGCATCTATTATGGCATGAAGCTTTGCTCCAGGAGGAAGAGGCTTGACGAGTGTTGCATTTAGTTCGTCATCAATAATAGTTCCCTGTGTTTTAAAATCCAAAGGGCAAAGTGTTTCGTCATAACCATCAACTTCGTCGCCATTGTAATTCCTTTGCTGTAAACCATGACCAGAAAAATGGAACACCAGAGAATCTCCTGCTTGAACTCCTTGCATAAGCCAGTACATTGCTGTTCTTATATTATGTTTAGTTGGAATCTTGTAGGGATCTCTTTCTTCTTCTGTAAAATGGAAATTTGAAATTAGACCTCCATATAGGGCAAAAAGGGCAGCATGGTGCACTAAGCTTCCGCTATGCGCGGGGTCCGAGTAAGTGCCAGACCACAATAATCTATTGTATGCAATCTTACCCTGTATTTCTGCAAGAGGTTGTTTTCACGGCTCGAACCCGTGACTTACTGGTCACATGACAGCAACTTTACTAGTTACACTAAGGCTCCCCTTCTAGACCTCCAAATAGAAAATGTAATAAAATTCGACGAACTAACAATGAAAAAAATGGTTTGCACTAACAAGAGTTTAAACTCTATGCACTAATAGTATAAATTTTTTATACATAATCAGGTCACTTAAAACGTAATTATAAGTAATTTTATTTTATAAATATTTCTCTATATTAAATGATAAATAATCTGCAATAACAGTATTAAATTACATTAAGGATATAAAAGTTCTTTATACTGTCGTGCATATTACTTAATCCTACTAATTCACATAAAGGCTTTGATGAAGAACAAAGTAATGAAATTCTAAAGTAGCTTTGCACATTTTGAAGTGGTTTACTTTCTTTATGAAAGTTGTGATTGAAGAAAGCTACAAAGGCATCTTAAATTGACTTTTAGGGAAAAGTATTTTGGAGAGTGGTAATGGTACAAATGTAATGAAATTAAATAGAATACACAGATCATACACTCTTTGAATCAGATGCCTAGTTCAAGTGGAATTGTGCACTGTTCCTTCGGGACATTCGATAAAATTGGAACGATACAGAGAAGATTAGTATGTTCACTGCGTAAGGATGACACGCACAAATCTAGAAATGGTCCAAATTTTTAAAAAAAATTAAAAAAAAAGTCAATTGTGCGCCAAAGAATCCATTAAGTGTAAGTAAAGCTAAAGCGCTAAAAGACATTTAGAATACAACAATAAAAATAAATTCTGTATAATCCTACAAATGGGATTTGGGAAAGGTAAGTTATATATACTCACCGCTTAAAACTTGATTGTGCAAATATTTTTATGTAGTCTAACACATAGAACTTAAAACTCTTTATTTGCTATCAGCAAGCATGAAATAAGATATGATATTAATCACTTCAAAACATCATATCTCAGACTAATAATACTAACTTCCGTTGAATTTGCTCTTAATTTTTCTCAAGATCAAACTTCTCATTCAAGGAGATAGATCTCTTTGTTTTGAAACTAGGTGAGGAAAGATTTTAACTTATACTCAGGAACATATTCCAGCAGAAAACAACCCGACCATACAGAAAAAGTAAGGATTTAACTTATATATACTGACCAGTACAAATAATTTTAATACTATCAATGTATATTTTAATCTGTGTTATACTCCGGTAACTTGTCTTATTCTTGAGGTTAGTAATCCTACTTAGTATGGACGTCATATAAAAATTCTTTTATATTGTTCGAGAAGTAACACTAGTTTGGAGACTTAAGGTATTTCTCCTTTGCGAAAGCTGATATAACCACAACTCGAGTCACTGGTCGTTGAAAATAAACCCTAGTCGTTCTCTCTCAGAAACTTTTTTTCCCCAAAACCCATAGTGGTGTTTATACAGACTACGATAGGTTTTAGAGTTATACCTAACGCACCAGCTAGGCCTGAAAGACTACTTTTTTCTAACAGTTTATGCATAAAAGTTAAACTCGATAACGACAAAGTAATAAGGAGAGAAAGAATGTTTGACCAGTGAGCATGAGAACAGAATCTTGAGGAAACTTGAACCGATTGACAAGCAAATACTTCATACATTTAGCATCATTGAGACAGCCCTTGAGCTCATTCTTGGTTTTCTTATACGTAATACCAATAATCAAAGCTCTCTTTCGACCAAAAGGCGAAGGTAGTTGATTACTAGAAGGTGTACGGCGGCCATAGGAAGAAAAGGTCTGAGCAATGTGGTGATTTTTGTAGGCAAGTAGCTGTAGCCGGCCGCCGATGCGAGTGACTGCACGGCGGGCGGCACAGCGCATGCATTGAGCACCATGTGGGAGTTGTAATAACGATGTATGGCAGTTCGGACAGTCCATTTTTTAACGAAGAAAACAAAACGAAATGAAGTCTGATAGTTTAATGGAGTAGTATAGTCCTATTGTTTGCAGACTATTGTAAGAAGTAAAATGGAATTGTTTCTGGTAAAGCTGACGTTGGGATGTAGGAATGATTGTGCATAATTAAACTATTTATATAGGAGTGAGTATTAGTAGGAAAGAGAGGAGGGGATGAGCCAAAGTGTTTGACAGAGCACGAAACATAAGAAAGAAAAAAAGAAAAACTTTTAAAACTTGGAATTTAAAATATACATAATATTTTGTGGTTATAAAATTATGCATTACAGATAAATTGAAAAGTTTAAAATTGAATTTACCACATAAAACGGAACCAAGGGATTATATTCTAAAACAAATGCAATAAAGATAAAGTGCATGCAACTCCTACATTATGTTTGAGTTGACAACTGCGTTCAAAAGCGATGATTCACTTGTCCCCTCGAAAGTTACATAATATAACAAGACAGTGTTGAAAGCTCGCAAAGTAGACAACAAGTGGCATACAACAATTAATTTCTCATTAGTAAATCGGAGTTGACAAAAGTACAGTTAATAGGCACATTTTACGTACGCTATAAACTTGAACAGCAATCTGGAAAAAAGAAGAAAATCTAGACATGTTTTTTCGAGCGCTTCTCTAATTTCAACTGCAATAAAAGCCTTTTCATCCCAATTATAAAATTGTCATAGTTTAATTTTATCAGTAAAACCACATGATCTATTTTATTAATGAGATATAGTCAAAATATAATGTAATTATGGTCAATATTTTGGCTAATGGATTCCATCTTACATAAGCATGCTTGCAAAGTAGACTTTGTTGGCAATATTCTTTGGGACCCAAAAATATTGCATTATGTGGTGGACATCATTTGTACAAATTGTATCTCTTCTTTTACACCTAAGAGGCCAAGACTTTTTCCCTATAAAAGGGAAGACTATTCGTTCATTTCAGACACACCAACAAGACTTGAGTATTCATTTCTTGTTTCTTCCTTTTTTCCTTTTATTAAGAGTGTTTTGTATGAGAGTTAAGTGTTGGGAAGCACTTGTGTGAACCCTTTCTTTGGAGTGATCTTGTGAGGTTATTCTTGGGGTATTTGAAATTAATTAGAGGGTTTACTCTAATTTTGTACTCTCTTTTGTACTCTTGTTGGTATAGTGAAATTACTCCTCTCCGCTTGTGGCCGTAGGTCACTTTGACTGAATCATGTTAAATTTGTGTCTTTTTTATATGCTTTAATTGCCGCTGTTATCAATTTCCATTGTCTTTGTTATTGTCACTACACCATTGTTTGGCTAAATTCCGCACTACCCGAGTTCCCGATCCTAACAAATTGGTATCAGAGCCGGATCTAACCGGGTTAGTATAAATAGCCAAAATGACTCTAACAAAGACTTATGTTGAGAAATTTGACCGAAGTGCAAACTTCGAAATGTGGCAATTAAAGATGGAAGCTATCCTAATTCAGGATGGCTTAAATTTGGCACTACAAGGAAATGAGAAGAAGCCGGAAAAAATGACGGACGAGGAGTTTGCCGTCATAGACAAAAAGACAAAAACAGGTATTATTTTAAATCTCTCAAATGAGGTTTTGCGTGAAGTTGCAGCAGAAAGCTCAGCCAAAGGCATATGGGAAAAACAAAAAACCCTGTATATGAAAATGACGGTAGAAAACAGGCTTTACCTAAAGCAAAAACTCTACACTTTTCGTATGGCTGAAGGTACCTCTATACTTACACATCTTGATACTTTTGATTCTCTTCTTATGGATTTAAGTAAAATAGATGCTGAAATTAAAGATGAGGATCAAGCCGTATTATTGCTTGTTTCCTTACCCCAGTCATTTAAGCATATAAGAGATACTATGCTTTATGGAAAGGATAATATCTCTTATAAAGATATCAAATCTATTTTGACATCAAAAGAACAAATAGATAGAGATATTACTGGGGAAACTAGTGGGAACCAAGGGGAAAACTTGTTTGTAAGAGGTAGATCCAATAAAAAAGATTCAAGTAGTGAAAGACCTAAATCAAGGTCAAAATTCAGATACAGAAATGTCATATGCAAATACTGCCATAAGAAAGGTCACATTATTTCCAAATACTTTAAATTTAAAAACAAAGAAAAACATATAGAAAAGAAAAATGAGCATAAGAATACTGACACTGCCGAAGCAAGTGTAGTTGCTCATGAGACTGATGGAACTATTTTTTTAGCAACTAATAATAGTTTTAAATCTAACAATGAGTGGATTTTAGATTTGAGTTGTTCTTATCATATGTGTCCCAATCGGGTTTTGTTTACCACATATGAATCTATTAAAGGTGAAGTTGTCTTGATGGGCAACTATGCTGCCGGCAATGTTATTGGTAAAGGTACAGTCCGAATCAAAATGCATGATGGTGTGGTGAGAACTCTGACCGACGTTAGACATGTTCCCGACTTGAAGAAAAATCTTATCTCTTTGGGCACTCTAGAATCTCTTGGGTGCTAGTACACAGGTGAAAGTGGAGTTTTAAAAGTTTGTCATAGTGCTCTTGTGAACATAAAAGCACGCAGATCTGGTACGTTGTATACTCTATTGGGATCTACTGTTACAGGTGCTGCTGCAGTTTCAACATCAGATAAATCAGATTCTGACATCACCAAATTGTGGCATATGCTAGTAGGGCATATGAGTGAAAATGGTCTTTCCATCCTCAGCAAAAGAGGTCTATTGTGTGGCCAAAGTACCGGAAATATGGAGTTCTGTAAACATTGTGTGTTCGGGAAGCAGAAAAGAGTCACCTTCACTTCTCCAGCAATTCATAAAACAAAAGGTACTTTAGATTACATTCATTCAGATCTTTGGGGTCCTTCACGTACCCCGTCAAAAGGTGGTGCAGGTATATGTTAACTTTCATTGATGATTATTCAAGGAAAGTTTGGGTTTATTTCCTGAAAAATAAAAGTGATGTTTTCTTAACTTTCAAACAATGGAAAGTTTTGATTGAGAAGCAAATAGGAAAATAGGTTAAGCGGCTTAGAATAGATAATGGATTGGAATTTTGTAATGATGAATTCAACGAATTCTACAAGAATGAAGGAATTGCTCGACACCGTACTGTGAGAATGACACCTCAGCAAAATGGTGTGGCAGAAAGGATGAATAGAACTCTTTTGGAAAGGGCTCGTTGCATGATTTCAAATGCTGGGTTGACAAATGCCTTTTGGGTAGAAGCTATCTCTACAGCTTGTTATATTGTCAACCGTGCTCCTTCTACACCCTTGAACTTTAAGACTCCAGAGGAAATGTGGTTAGGTACTCCTGTTAATTATTCTGATTTAAAGATATTTGGTTGCCCTGCATACATGCATGTAAATGATGAAAAATTAGAGCCAAGGGCTAAAAAGTGCATTTTCTTTGGGTATGCATCTGGGGTGAAAGGATACCGACTATGGTATCCTGATCCCATAGCACTAAAATTCATAATTAGCAGAGATGTAACCTTTGATGAATCCTTTATGTTACATTCTAGAAAAGAGTCTTCTAGTTCTTGTAATACAGATAAAGGGAAGAGTACAGAAAAGCAGGTGGAAGTTGAGATTGGCAATCCTTCTGAGCCAAGTTCATCAACTTTGGAACAAAATACAGTTGAAACTCCTGAAGTTGAGCCAGAAGCTGAAATTTCTGAAGTTGAACCGGAAGAAGAGGAGTATTCTATAGCCAAACATAAACCAAGATGAGAAAATAAACAACCATTAAGGTTTGGAGATTATGGTGCATTTGCTTTTTCAGTTGCACAGGAAACTGAAGAAATTGGAGGACCATCAAAATATTCAGAAGCAGTTTCTGGTGCTGATTCAACCAAGTGGCTGATAGCAATAAATGAAGAAATTGAGTCTCTCCACAAGAATGATACTTGGTCTCTTGTGAAGCCGCCATCAGAAAAAGAATTGTTGGTTGCAAATGGGTTTTCAAGAAAAAAGAAGGCATTCCAGGGGTTGAAAATGCGAGGTATAAGGCACGATTAGTTGCAAAGGGCTATAGTTAGGTACAAAGAGTTGATTTTAATAATATTTTCTCACATGTTAAACATAGCTCTATTCGTGTTTTGCTTGCCTTAGTTGCCATGCATGATTTGGAATTAGAACAGCTTGATATTAACACAGCTTTCTTACATGGCGAACTTGAGGAACAAATATACATGCATCAACCCGAAGGATTTGAAACTGAAGGAAAAGAAGATCACATTTGCTTGTTAAAGAAATCCTTGTACGGATTAAAGCAGTCTCCAAGACAATGGTATAAAAGGTTTGATTCCTTTATCTTGGGTCATGGTTATTCAAGCAGCATGTATGATAGCTGTGTTTACTTTCGGAAGTTAAATGATGGTTCATCTGTGTACCTATTATTATATGTTGATGATATGCTCATTGCTGCTAAGGATTTGACAGAAATTCACAATTTGAAAAGACAGTTGAAAAGTGAATTTGAGATGAAAGATTTGGGAGCAGCTAAGAAAATCCTTGGCATGGAGATCAAAAAAGATCGAGGAGCCAACAGGCTATTCCTGACTTAGAAGAAGTACTTGGAGAAAGTCTTGGAGAGGTTTGGCATGAAAGATATTAAACCAGTAAGTACCCCTCTTGCTGCTTATTTTAAGTTATCAGTTGCTCAGTTACCGCAGTCAGATGAAGAATAGAGGTATATGGAACAAGTACTTTATTCTAGTACAGTCGACAATATTATGTATGCAATGGTTTATACACGTCCGGAAATTTCACAAGCAGTGAGCGTGGTAAGCCGATATATGGCTTGCCCTGGTAAGCACATTGACAAGCTGTGAAATGGATTCTCAGATACTTGCGAGATACTTCAAACACATGTTTGGAGTTTGGGAGAAGTACTAATACTTTGGTTGGCTTTGTAGACTCAGATTATGCAGGTGATCTTGACAAAAAAAGATCACTAACAGGCTACGTATTTTGCATTAGTGGTTGCTCTATCAGTTAGAAAGCTACATTACAACATGTAGTAGCTTTATCTACTACCGAAGCAGAACATATGGTAGTGACTGAGGCTATCAAATAAG